AACCCAACAATCTACACAACCCTATACTGATGATAGATCCATGTTTGAGGAAATGTAGTGTAAGTACAATATTAGATCTAGCCACTGTTAGGACAATCTTAAAATATCATAAACTGATTACTTAATAAATGTCACTCTAAAACAAAACTAAGAAAATTCGTTTTGACGATGCCATTTTCTGATGGTGTACAATCTTATTTACAGGTATTTCTTTACATATAGTAGTTTATAGTAAAATAGGAGAATAATTCAAAATTACCAAAAACTTAAACATTTGATGCATGAATAAGTTTGACTATCCATGATAATTTTGTAGAACACCCCTATTTTACTATAGACCACTACATGTAAAAAGCTACGTATAAATACGATTGTATAAGTTAAGATAATGTCATCTAAAAAATTCCCTTCACTGAAAGATCTTAAATCTTTATCCATACTTATATACATATACACACCGATTATCTATCTATCTGTGTATAAATAACAAATTCACTAGAAAATAGTTTTCAGTGTTTCATATTCTCACTTTTCATCCAATTCTCAACAGTTTTAGACCTTAACAGAAAACCAACTATACAGAAACAGGGTTTAATCATGTAGTATTTCTCTTTGGTTGAGTATGAATGACATTTACTATTATTGTACTGTTAACTTTGAACGGATTGTTAATTAGTTGATATGTTTAGACTCTATTTGATTCGTGTTATGTCGCATCCTGTAAACGATTGTGGTGATAACCACTAAAACTGAAAATTTTCAGTGCATTTTTATTGTTTTATCTACAGTTGGACTAATAATATCATGTTCCAATGGTTCTTTGCGTTACCGATACTTACTTACGCTTGTCACCCCTCGTGGAGGAGCATAGACCGCTCACCAGCATTCTCCATTCAACTCTGTTCTGGACAATCCTTCACAGCTGCTATTCATCCTTTTGATATCTGCCACCTATTCTCGAAGTAGTGTGTTCTTTGGCTTTTCTCTTTTCTGTTTCCTTTCAGGATTCCAAGTTAGCGCTTGTCTCGTGATGCAGTTTGATGATTTCCGCAATGTATATTCTGTCAATTTCCAGCGTCTTTTCCTAATTTCATCTTCAGTTGGAAGCTAGTTTGTTCTCTCCCATAAGAGGTTATTGCTGATGGTTTCCGACCAACAGATAATGAGCATCATACGTAGACAATTGTTTCGAAATACTTGTACTTTCTGATGATGGTTGCCGTAGTTCTTCAAGTTTCAGTCCATACAATAGAACAGTCTTGACGTTCGTATTGAAAATTCTGAATTTGATATTGGTTGGCAGACAGTTGTATTGAGTTCCATATGTTCTTCACCTGTAGACATGCAGCCCTTTCTTTATCGATCCTCGCCTTTACGTCTACATCAGATCTTCCTTGTTCGTCAATGATGCTGTCCATGTACGTGAAAGATTCCACTTCTTCCAGAGTTTCTCCATCAAGTGTGATTGAGTCGGTGTTTTCTGTGTTGTATTTGAGGATTTCGCCTTTTCCTTTGTGTGTGTCGAAGCCTACTGATACAGAGGCTGCTGCTACACTAGTTGTCTTCATCTGCATTTGTTCGTGTATTTAGTATAGAATAGCTAGGTCATCTGCGAAGTCCGAATCATCTAGTTGCGTCCTACTGTCCATCGTATTGCGTGCTTCCCCTGAGATATAGAAGTTTTCATAATCCACTCAACCACCAGAAGAAAGAGGGAGGACGAAAGTAAGTACCCTTGTCTAACACAGGTTCTCACGTGGGATGCACCCGTCAGCTGTCCTCCATGCACGACTTTGCAGTGTAGTCCGTCGTATGAGTTCCCGATAATGTTGACAATCTTCTCAGGAACTCCATAGTGTCGAAGAAGTGTCCATAATGTTCTCCTATCTACACTGTCAAACGCCTTTTCATAATCAATGTAGCTGATGTATAGTGACAAGTTCCACTCAACTGATTGTTCAACGATGATCCGTAGTGTCACAATTCGGTCTGTGCACAATCGATCCTTACGGAATCCAACCTGTTGATTTCGAAGCTGGGTGTCTATTACGTCTTTCATCCTGTTCAGGAACACTCTGTTGACAGTAGTGTAATGCCTCTGTAGTTCTCACATTTGCTCAAATCTCCTTTCTTTGGTATCTCGATGATGTATCCATCTTTCCAGTCCGTTGGCATTCATTCTTCCTCCCGAATCTTCTTGAATAGAAGGTGAAGCATACTTGCAGTTAGTTCTGCCTGGCTTCAGTGCTTCGGCTGGTATATTTTCAGGTCTTCCTGCTTTCCCCATGTTGATTTGCCTCATGGTCATTCTGATTTCTTCGATCATTGGTGGAGTGACGTCTATTGGAAGGTCTGTGTGTGCTGCTTCGATGTCCAGATGATTCAATGGAGCTGGCCTATTCAACAGTTCCTCAAAGTATTCTATCCGTCTGTTCCTCCGTTCTTGAATCTCCGTGATTGTCGTACCTTCTTTGTACTTGACCAGTCTCTCTGGTTTACTATATTTCCCTGCTAGTTTCTTCGTTGTATCACATAGCTATCTTATGTTTCCTTCTCTTGCAGCTGTTTCCACTGTCGTCGCTCACTCTTCCACATATTTCTGCTTGTCAGCTCTAAGTCTCCTCTTCACTTGCTTGTTTGCTTCAGTGTATTCAGCTTGTGCCCTGACCTTCTCTGTTCTCGCTTGGCTGTTATTAATTGTTGTCTTCTTGTTCTTCATTTCTCGAATCTTGTCAAGAGTTTCGATAGAGATCCATTCCTTATGATGATGCTTCTCGCGACTCAGAACCTCCTGATACGTTGAAGTTAGTGCTTCTTTGATCCCTTTCCACTTGCCCTTCATAGTAGTTTCTTCTTCTTTCAGTAGATCCCGTAAGGCTTCAACCTGTTGTTGAGAATTATCTTGAGTTCGTTGAGGCTTCATTTAACCTTTGTAATTCTGTTTCCTCAGTTGTCCATTGCTTCTTTATCTTGAGTTTTATCGCGGCCACAACCACGTGGTGATCTGAAGCTAATGTCAGTTCCTCTCTTGGTTTCCAACTATTCCATTGACTTTATGAATTTTTTATTGATGGAAATATGATCAATCTGGTTTTCTGTAATATGATTAGGTGAGACCCATGTAGCTCTGTGTATGTGTTTGCGGGGGAATTCTGTTCCGCCTATAACCCTTTTGTTGAATATATGAATCCATGTTGTCCGATGATATCTCCAGATCCAGTGTTGTCCATTCCGACTTTGGCATTTAGGTCTCCCATGAGGATTGTCAGGTCCTTTCCTCGGTACTTTGTTATGATTGATTGCAGCCTCTCGTAAAACTGATTTTTATCGTCCGCAGTACTATCATTCGTTGGTGTATAACATTAGATAACGCTCTTTGTGATCCCCTCCTTCTTTATTTTGAAAAATGTTTTGGTGGTTCTGGATGCATAAGATTCCCATCCTATAAGTGCTTATCGTGCTTCCTTGGACAGCATCAGAGGAACTCCTTGAGTGTATGGAGCATTTTCTTCGTGACTAGAGTACAGTAGTATCTCCCCCGAATCTAATTTTTTATGTTCATTTTGGGTCTAGTGGGATTTACTTATTCCCTATTTACGTTGTTATTTGGCTGACCCTCCCGGTTTCCCACATTGTCCGGACATTCCATGTAGCTATATTAATTGTTGTTCTGGTTGTTGGAAGAGCATCGGCCTCGTAATTTCCGAAGAATCTCTGCTTTCATAATTCTTCATCATCTTCGTCATAATTCTTCCATCAACTCCCAGGTCAGAGTTTAAATGGTTTAATTTGTTTAGTTTTTATAACAAGATTGTTTCCTACGAGATGGGGCTACTGACTCCATGCTCAACCGTCCTTCTTTATGCGGGCTTGTGATCGGCAATAAACCTATAAGAGCTACAACCGGAGTTGCGTTACTTATGCTTAGTCTTAATGTTATTGATAATTCTTTATTCACGTAAAACCGTAGTCTTCACGATGATTGACCATTGAGTGTTATATTATGTGGTTTCCAGGGTTAGTCAACCATGCAATGTTGCTACTTAACTAAGTGATCCGAATCGCTTTCGATTATCTAGCTCCGAATAAAGTGACCACAATGTTGAGTTGACTTCATCAGCTAGTGTCAAGTCTTGGTTGGTTGGCCCCAGCTTTCTTCTACTTCATGAGTCTAGGTAGGCGGTAGATGAACCCACGTGACATATCTCAGTCACCTCAGTAGATCAAAATTCTTATGGACTAATCTTTGTTTGTTGGTGTGCAACTGATCTCAACTCGGTTCACCCAACATGCTTCGAAGACGCCGACGATCAAATACCAGTAACCTGCGTATATCTTCAACGTTTAAAGGCCACGTTTCACATAACATAGTAAACTGTTGCACATCCTTTATTTGACAGACAGGTATGTGATCAACACCACAAATTGGCAAAAGTTAATCCAACTTTCTGAATCCGTGTCAATATTTTGTCAGAAACCAATCCACAGTCACGGATAAGACTTTCAAGGTAAGTGAAGTAGCTGGTGCGCTCAACTATTTCACTTCCTGCAATTAGTCTAGGCTATGACTCAGACCAGTCCTTAGGGAACACTATTTTAAAGGGGAAGAAACTCATCCCAAACATGTTTAGTGGACGCAACTTACAAGACTGTTTGTAAATAGTGTTTAGCGGAACGTGATGTCGAAGTTGCTACAATTGTCAGACAGAGTGAAGAGTTTCAGTGCATCGAAAAACTCGGCGTTAGTAGAACACTTGGAGACTAGACAAGAAGACAGTTCAAATAGCAGAACACATCGAAAGATGCGATTGAAGACTATGTATGCGTATTATGTATAAACTTTGTAACTTCTCTTCTCAATAAACGCACATTTCTCCTTCTTATTGTTGTGTTTTACACTTGCATTGTTGCTCACAATGATGAAAAACGTCTCAAACCAGTTTTAAGCAGATACATTTACCTTAGTTTATGTAAAAACACACAAGATATTAAATTTTTTTAAAAATCATATTCGGTTTATCAATATAATACGATATTAATCAATTATAGTTGTATAAACAAAGAATCTAACGAAGTATAATGAACAATTCATATTCACATAACTAATAATAATCAAAATGTGTTTATTCCTAATATAATCCATGGAAGAAATGAACGTAGATAGATGATTCAACTAATCACAGTTGTTCATTACAAACAATGAAGTAATAAAGCTGTTCCAGCTTGAATCCATTGATTTTGACTACCTGAAGGACAGGGGACTCGAATATATGTCACCAAATGTTCACGAGTATTATTTGTATAAATTGGTAAATAAATAGAATTGTTTTCATTCAATGGATCTTGTTCATCCTTAAATAAACATATTAAAATAAAACCAATTACATAATGAATACGTGTTGTACTAAGTATCAATGTTTACAAACATAATGACAAATGAATCAATATCGTAATATGATATAACGTGGAAAAATTATAATTCCTAGTTTGTAATCCTACTCTTGGAATATAAGATCACTATTGATTAGGGCACTAGATCACAATACAAAACCATATCATATGTTTGGTTCGATTAATAATCATAGATCAGTATAGACTAGACAAATAGTTTATTGATATAAAATACATTAATAGTCAACACAGAGTGACATTCAAGTATAATTAACAATCTTATGTAGTCTTGTATATACAGTATACTTAAATATGTCTATCTTTATTTAGCTGTTAATCATTTTGACAAACAAATCACAATGTTTCTAGGGTCATTTTAGGTTTTTGATATTATTATGTTGTAGTTTACTAAACTTGAATAATGGGTCAAAGTGATATAGATATCTTTATTCATAGAAGTGAAACTAAATCAAATTACTGATTCACATCCATTGACACTAACAGATAAAATTGGATAATCTAATATATAGTAGTTATCTAAATTCAAATGAACTTAAAGTAGTATCATTAGAAAAGAGATTGAAGTAGACTTGTAGACGACTAATGTCCTGTTGCTCTGTGAACAATCTAAAAATTTTAACACGGTTGGATGCTGGCTCAGTGTTCTAGTTGATTAAGCGCCTGGCGCGAGACAGATAGGTCATGGGTTCGAATCCCGGGAGGCGGGGTCGTGAATGCGCACTGCTGAGGAGTCCCACGATAGGATGAAACGGTTTTCCAGTGCTTCCAGGTTTTTCATGGTGGCCTAGCTTCAATTGACTCATGATCTCAACTGTTGAAAGATATATGTTTTTATGTACAGATCGATAAGTAAAATTTCATTGTTAGGAGATTGGAAGCAATCAATATAGAAACTGATTAGCTTTACTAAATAAACACTTGTTTCATTTTTCTAGCTTCTCTTAATAACTCTAGACTAAATCTACACGGCAACTTGGACATTGGAGACAAGGCGCGAAGACTGGTGATAAGGATGTGACTCCCAAAATAAATCAAAATGGTTTCAGAATACATCACATTTTATATGGTTTATTTACAGTTAGATTCGTGTAAATTGAACTGAATTGTCATTACCAATGATAATTCAATAACTTACTGTGTGAACACAATATTACACAGTGAAGGATCTATAATCCTTCTTAAGATGTAAATACATGTCACATATGTTTGGGAACAAAAATGGATTTCATGTGTTATTCCCATTTTAGTTGATTAAGTTATTACTCGCCATATCAAAAACCTAGACAAATTTAATGCTTGCTGGTATTCTACAGTTAGGTATAATCCCAACCTTGACGGTAATGTTGTATGTAGGTTTCGAATCTGATGTGTAAGTCCCGAATGACCTCCTGTGGGGATGAGATCCTAGTACTTACTGATCACTGAATTTTGAATAATGTTATGCTTATCTAGTCCTCAATTCTATGGATTAAACTGCTAAGTTCTATGTATGTATTTGGGTAGCCAACAGCCTTACTTCCTTCCAATAAAGTGCCGTTTGACACACATGTCTTACGTTCAAAAACTTTGTTTTATTGAGGTCAAGAGCCGATTCAATGTAGACAACTGCTTAAAATCTTGGAGCACTGGATGGAAATTTCGTCAGTATGGGACTTCTCAGGAGAACACGCCCACGACCTTCGGTCTTCCTCGCGGATGCTTAACCTCTAGACCACTAAGCTGGGATCCAATGGTGTACAATTACAACTTTGATGAATTCACGGTACTGAGTAACCATTTACCATTGTCTGTGGTGGGTAACTTCCTCACATCCAACATGGTCGGTCTAATAATTTTGTTGAGAATGTTTTGGAACTAAATGAATTAATTTACAAGTTTCAGCCAAAATTGGAAACTATCTCACAATAGAAAAATATCCACACTTTTACATTTAAAATAAACGAAGTTTTCGCCAATCGAAAATGGAATTTTCATGACATCTAAAATCAAATGGTTTCACTTTCAAGTCTATCTTTTTCTCTAAAAACTCCGCCTGGAGTCCCTCCGGGGGCCAGTGCTGGTCCCAAGCCCAGATAAAGGAGGAGGGTTGGACATGGGGTTAGCAACCCCATCCAGTAGAAAACGAACTCGCCAAAAAACGCTAATCATAAAAAATTATTCAAACCATTTAAACTCTGCCCTGGGATTCAGAAAGTCTTCATTTAGAAGAGTTATGACGCCTCATGATGAAAGCCGAGTTCCTTCGGAAGTCACGAGGCCGATGCCCCTTCTGACAACTAGAACAACCATTTATTTAGGTACATGGAGTGCTCGTACAATGTGGGAGACTGGGGGAGTCTTCCAAATTGCTTCAGAAACGAGGAGATACAACCTGGAGGTGCTTGGGATCAGTGAAACACATTGGACGCAAGTTGGACAACAACGACTAGATTTAGGGGAGCTTCTGTTATACTCCGGCCATGAAGAAGAAGATGCCCCATATACACAAGGAGTTACATTGATGCTGTCCAAACAAGCACAAAATGCACTTATAGGATGGGAATCTCATGGACCAATGGTCAGCAAGGCCTCCTTCAAAACAAAGAAAGAGGGCGTTTCAATGAACGTCATCCAATGCTATGCGCCTACCAACGATTACAATGAAGACGCTAAAGATCAATTCTACAATAGGCTGCAGTCAATCGTCGAGAAGTGCCCAACAAAGGACCTGACCATTCTGATGAGAGATTTCAACGCCAAGGTTGGAACGGACAACACTGGATATGAAGACATCATGGGACGACACGGACTGGGAGAAAGGAACGAAAATGGTGAGAGATTCGCAAACCTATGTGCGTTCAGTAAACTGGTCATAGGCGGAACTATATTCCCACATAAACGCATTCACAAACTACATGGACTTCACCGGATCACTCTACACAAAACCAAATCGACCATATTTGCATCAACAAAACGTTCAGGAGGACTATAGAGGACGTGAGAACCAAGAGAGGAGCTGATATAGCATCAGATCATCACTTGCTGGTCGCCAAGATGAAATTGAAACTCAAGAAGCACTGGACAACGGGGCGGACAATATCACAAAAGTTCAATACGGCCTTTCTTCAGGATACTAACAAACTCAACAAATTCAAGATAGTCCTCAGCAACAAGTTCCAGGCCTTTCATGATCTACTCAATGGAGAAGGAACTACTATAGAGAGCAACTGGAAAGGGATAAAAGAGGCAATCACTTCAACATGTCATGAGGTTCTGGGCCACAAGAAGCACCATCACAAGGAATGGATCACTGTTGATACATTGGATAAGATTCAAGAAAGGAGGAACAGGAAGGCAGCAATCAATACCAGCCGAACAAGAGCAGAGAAAGCCAAGGCACAAGCTGAATACACAGAAGTAAACAACCAGGTGAAGAGAAGCATCAGAACCGATAAACGTAAATATGTAGAGGATTTAGCAACGACGGCGGAAAAGGCTGCAAGAGAAGGAAATATGAGACAACTGTATGACACAACAAAGAAACTCTCTGGAAAACACCATAAACCAGAACGACCAGTGAAAAACAAGGAAGGCAAGGTAATCACCAACATCGAAGAACAACGAAACAGGTGGGTAGAACACTTCAAAGAACTCTTGAATCGACCAGCTCCACTGAACCCACCCAACATCGAAGCAGCACCCACGGACCTCCCAATCAATGTTGGCCCACCAACAATTGAAGAAATCAGCATGGCCAGCAGACAAATCAAGAGCGGCAAAGCACCAGGACCAGACAACATTCCAGCAGAGGCACTGAAAGCAGATGTAGCGGTAACTGCAAGGATACTCCACATTCTCTTCAGCAAAATTTGGGATGAGGAACAAGTACAAACAGACTGGGAAGAAGGACTTCTGGTCAAAATCCCAAAGAAAGGCGATCTCAGCAAGTGTGATAACTACAGGCGCATCACTCTTCTCTCAATACCGGGAAAAGTCTTCAACAGGGTATTGTTAAACAGGATGAAGGACTGCGTAGGTGCCCAACTTCGTGACCAACAGGCAGGATTCCGTAAGGATAGGTCGTGTACAGACCAAATCGCAACTCTACGGATCATTGTGGAACAATCAATTGAACGGAATTCATCACTCTATATCAACTTCATTGACTACAAAAAGGCATTTGATAGCGTGGACAGAACAACACTATGGAAGCTTCTTCGACACTACGGCGTGCCTCAGAAGATAGCCAATATCACACAGAACTCCTATGATGGATTAAACTGCAAAATTGTGCATGGAGGACAGTTGACAAAGTCGTTCGAAATAAAGACCGGTGTCAGGCAAGGTTGCTTACTCTAACCCTTTCTCTTTCTCCTGGTGATCGACTGGATCATGAAGACGTCAACATCTGAGGGAAAGCATGGGATACAGTGGAAATCTAGGATGCAGTTGGACGACCTAGACTTCGCAGATGATCTGGCTCTTCTATCGCACATGCAACAACAAATGCAGGGAAAGACGATCAGTGTAGCAGCAGCCTCAGCAGCAGTAGGTCTCAATATACACAAAGGGAAAAGCAAGATTATCTGATACAACACAGCATGCACCAATCCAATCACAATTGACGGAGAAGATTTGGAAGATGTAAAAACCTTTACATATCTGGGCAGTATCATTGATGAACACGGTGGAAGGCGCGCATCGGCAAAGCAAGAACTGCATATCTACAGCTGAAGAACATCTGGAACTCAAAAACAATTGTCAATCAATGCCAAAGTCCGAATTTTCAATACACATGTCAAGGCGGTTCTACTGTATGGGGCGGAAACCTGGAGAACTACTAAAGCCATCATCCAGAAGATACAGGTGTTTATTAACAGTTGTTTACGCAAAATACTCCGGATCCGTTGACCAGACACTACACTATCAGCAACAACCAACTGTGGTAGAAAACAAATCAG